TGAATGATAATTGAGCTTGAAATTGTATATTTACTTTAAATAAGTCCTCCAAATCATCTGCAACAATGTGTGCTTAATTCGAAGCCATTAACAAAAGATTTAACATTTCCACATTTATACTCTCCATAATTTCAGATATGATACTGCATACTTAGAGAGAGAGAGGAAGGAAAAAATAAAAGCTACCTCTGGTAGCTTTCCATTTGCAAAATTAAATGGATGCACCTTAAGTTTCTTACGTTTGTTAATGCAGCCTGTTATACGCTGGCTACAAAAGAAACAAAACATTCAAAATCCTTCATTATTACTTTGGAAACCAAAAAAAAAATTCAGTATTGTAGGTTTAATGAAACAAACCCAAAAAATCCTATCAAACCAAAGCTAGGCTTGCTTTACGCAAGATAAAACAAGCTCTGAAGACCAAATATTGCAACCCTTTCAAAAACCTAAAAAGCTGGTGTTTGATGCTTACTTTAATGAAAGTAATACCAATATGCACGTAGGAGAAAAAATGGAAGGAAACCCCTTGTATAAATGGAGACCAGGGAATGGGTGTTCATATAACGAAATAGCGTGTTGCTTCGGGGTGTTGATCCTAATGCTAGATATTGTACTTATTCCATACTACAAGATGGAACACAGAAGAGCCCATTTTAACAAATCACAAAATGCATCATACAGATTTTACCATTCCCAGTGACTTGTTAAGAGCTCCTGAAGTAAGTTAAATGTTCCTCTGGTTTTGCTACCGTTCTCTCAAACTGAAGGGAACAAGTCCACAGAAATACTCCAAATCTCTTTACACACTTCTTAGCTGACAGGAAGTGGAAACTTGTTTATTAAGATCCCAACACATTCAGAAACACATAAAAGGCGCTACCTCCCTTTCATGCTTAGACGCATATGTATAAACAGGGCAAAATAATTCTTTTTTCAATGAGATTTCCCTGCACTTAAAAAAGGAAATTGATATTAAATGGTTTCCTATTTAAAAAATAAGTAACTTGTCAGAATTTGGGCGTGGCAGACACCCGAGTTGCCAATACACTACCAGAACTGAACCTGTCCAAAGCAACGCTATAAACAATCCTCTAAAAAATTAAAAGCTATGTACCCCCAAAACACTTTTTTTTTTTTTATTATGACATGACACTTTAGCCTGGAAAGCTCCAGGTTGTCAGACAGGGAGCACCGCCACCTGCACTAGGCACGTTTTGGGAAGGCAAACACGCACACCATGAGAAGCATCACCAGTGGGAACATTGGGACAGGAAGGAACCAACGACACTCATTCATGGTCAACCCATCACTTTAAATGGTCAAAACTGTACAGAGGTGAAATAACAGCAGAGGGCAGCACAAATCCTGGCAGTCCCCTGAGGTCCTCCCCTCGACCTTGGCCACTCGGGGAAAGCAGCTGCATGGGTCCACAGTGTGGGGTGCAAGGATGCAGCAGCCTGTCCCTTCGCTGCTGGGATGTGTGCCCACTGGGTCCTGCCCCTCTGCTTTTTCCTCTAAGGTTAAGCACAGCAATAACCAAGTCTACTCACCGCTACGTGTTTCAGGTTTTCCTCTTCTTTCAAGCAGCCCCTGCGGCTGGGACTGACTGACCACAAGGACAGGCAGCCTCTGCTTGCTCTCCAAAGACCCTCCTGGGGTCTGCCATGTAGCAAAACTTCAGAGCAGCACCAGGTGGTGGTGAAACAGCCACAAGGCGACGTGCCTTCCTTTTCCACAACTGTTAAATCAAGTGCACCAATTGACACCTTTCGGACTCATAAGCCTAGAACTGGGGTACTTTTGTTGGTCAAGTAAGGGACATAAAAGGGATGCATCACCAGAGACAACAGTAAGAGAATCTCTAGAAAAAGCAAAAGCATCTCTTAAAGGGCTTTTCCAACCTCAAAGATTCTATGACCTCCAGAAAGTAACATTTCCCCCTGTCCACACTGGATAAAGCAAGGACAGACCCACCCATCTCCCATCAGCACAGTATCTGAGCAACTCACAATTTCTACTTGCACCCCTAACCACGAGTACTGCAGTGGGGAGACACCCAGACATAACAGCTCCAACACCGTGCTACAGCACCAACGGCTGGCACCCACCCACACAACAATCCCCAATATCCCACAGAGACAGAAAACAAACCGTATGTATGTGTACCTAAAGAAGAACTTCCCAGCAGCCCTGTGAAGACAGCAAACCTATCCAGAGAAGGAAGGAAGGAAGGAAGACCCAACTGCCTCACCTGCTGCACCTGTACCCACAGCAATGCCTGACACTAATTTGCTTCCACAGCAACTAAACCCACCTTAGCACCTGGGAATACCAGTTTACCAATCATTTTTTATCCTCAATTTTGGCTCTGAATACCTATTAGGCAACCTGCCCTCTATTAAACAGTACTGTTATATGAAAGTACTTGATGGTGATGCTAGTCTTAGCAGATACTAGCATTTGCTCTAGTATAATTAAGAAACGGCTATTTTACCTTTTGGAAAAGAACTAGCAATTATTCATCTCTTGATATTCCCAATGGAATAAAATTGGTGCACACATTCATTTAAGTTGCAACAATCTCAGTTCTACTATAAATTTCCATTCTCCAGCTTGCCTTTGGCTTTTCTCACTGCAATGGCTGCTCTAAACTCTCACAGTTTGTATCCAAACAAGAACAAAAATAAACAAACTGTAACCTTCTACATTCACCACAAGGCTGAGATCTTGTTTCCCCCTTGGAGCTGAGTCACATCTCCTTCCTATGTCTCCATCCACCTTCTCACTTCCATTCTAAAAATTCACATCTTCTGTACCGAGTGACATTTACAGCCAACGAGCGTCCAGTTTTCCAGTGACATTCTCATCGTGTGCCTCGCTCACTGGTTAAGTTTGGAAAGACAGCCTGCTTGTGCTCTCTGAACATCCCTGCTCTTTTCCCCATCAGACCCCATGCTGCCCACACTCCCTTGGTTCCCATTGCCAGAAAGCTGTTTATTCATGGATATATCTTAAGACCCCCTCAGTATACCAGTACATACCAAACCCTCTCTTTCTCCAGAAAGAGACCTCACCTTTCCTTCCCCATTCGCACTAAACTACCATCACATGGCATTCAGTGCCCTTCAGCTGTTCCCAATCTGAGCTTGCATATGTGCACGGCAGAGGTGGGGAGAGCAAAGGAGGCGCCTGCACTTTCTTGTGCTCCGATTCCTTTGCAGCTCTGAAGGCTGCGCACTCCAAGGCTGCAACAAGAAGACAGCACCTTGTTTGCTTCCACATTTTAATCTCAGCTGAGGCCTTAGCACCATTCTGCCATGTATCAGGAGAGATAATAAAATTTCCCCATGCATGTGCACTCTTTGTCCCCTAAACCTTCCTGTACGTGCCCCTCCTGAGCAAGTGTTCACTCCAAATGCACATGTATGAACTCTCTATAAGGTAACAGAGCTACTGGGAGGCAAACACAGTAGAATTAATGGGGGTGGCTACTTAAAACGAGCACTAATTTAAAATGACTGCTGCAGGGTGCAGTTTTTCCTTTCCCCAATTTGAAGTTATACACCTCTCTTCTATAAGAAAAGGATAAACTTACTTTAAAGGTATAAACCCATAATCATTACCTTTCAGTTTGGAATTTATATGTTGTCATGTATTGCCGTGATGTGATTTCTTAACTCAGTTCAGCACTGTTTGATACAGAGCAATAGATGAGTAAGTTACATTTTCAGATTGTACATTTGCCTGACTGGTGTAATGCTCCTGTCCACAAACCAGCTTGCACTCAGGTCTTTCAGCAACCTGCAACCATTCACCTAGCAGCCAAAGAAACACTACAAAGCTTGGTCTTACCACCACATTTTCATAGTACCAAGATTTGCTAACAACAGGACAACTGGGGATGGACAGGAATTTCCAGGTGATCCTTCTTGAAACTTTTAAAACATACTCTTCCAGAGACATTGCATCTGCTATGCACAGAAGGAGCAATAGGGAAGCTTTACAGAAGTAGGCTACTACCTGAAATAGAGGAGTAAACATTATGTTCTGGTAGAATGAAGAAGTTTACCAGAAGCAGTAGCTCTCCAAATAGCAGTTATGCCACATTTTCCTTCAGTGAGGGCGGTTTGTTTCCCACCCGAATTTGTTCATGTATAGAATTGCACCAACACGTTAGCTTGCAGTGCTAACCTGTGCTCCTGTGATTCTGATCCTTTCGTCTGTCTAACCACTGGCCATTTTTTTTGATCTTAAGTTCTAAGAATGTACCATACTTTTAAGAATAACACTTTTGTAAGTGTGTAGAAAAAACTTTTTGGAGGGTGGATACTAGGACTTCAATACTCATTTACATGAGCCAACAATTTCCAAATAGAAATACACCACCATAAAAGTGTAACTAGTAACTGCATATGGCAACGCCACGTTTAAATACCTACAGCTATCCGGCAATCCTCTGAAAATTAACATCTCATGTCTCCGAGGAGACATGAGAGGCATGAGAGACAATGAGGCTCTGAGGAGACCTCATTGCAGCTTTCCAGTATCTGAAGGGGGCCTACAAGGGTGCTGGGAGAGGACTTTTTACAAGAGCCTGTAGTGACAGGACAAGGGGTAATGGGTACAAATTGAAAACAGGGAGGTTTAGATTAGATATCAGAAAGAAATTCTTCACAGAGAGGGTGGTGAGGCACTGGAACAAGTTCCCCAGAGATGTTGTGGATGCCCCATCCCTGGAAGTGTTCAAGGCCAGGCTGGATGTGGCGTTGAGCAACCTGGTCTAGTGCAAGGTGTCCCTGCCCATGGCAGGGGGGTTGGAACTAGATGATCTTTAAGGTCCCTTCCAACCCAAACCATTCTATGATTCTATGATTCTATGTCCTTAATACAATAAACTTTGCCAGGCTCTGTTGAAAGCAACTTCTAACCGCTTCTCAGCCAAAAAATTTTGACATATTGATATCTTCTAAACCAGCAGCAATAAGAAAAGCATAAACCACTTGAGAACATTTCTTGAATAAATTCTGTAAAAAAAAAAAATAGTGGTGAGTTGCTTCTTTACAGTATTTATTTGCAGTTTTCAAACAGCATTTGAATTTAAATAAAAAATTCTCTAGGAGGTAAATATACAATGAAAAGTCATTATACAAATATCTTGCACAAAGCATACCAAAATTACAGAGGAATGATCAAAATTAAGTAAGAGAAATAGGATCCCAAACAAAATGTTCCATTTACTGAATAATTTCCGTGGAGTTGTGCTTGTCAACTTCTGGAATATCTGTTAAGTGATGAAAAAAAGGACGACCATGAACACAGCCTTTATTTTCCTTTCCAAGCTGTTGCTTCATCCTGTAAATTGTGTTTTGTACATCTTCTTTTGACAAATGTAAGGGCAGCTGGCGAGCTAAACGTACTGCTTCTCCCTGTAGAAAGGAAAATCAAAAACAAAACCCCAGGAGTATTTAAGTGCCACTTCTTAACACTAACCTGGGGCTACCAGAAAGCAGGAATTAAGCACTAACTGTTTAAACCTCACTCTTCTCTTTTCTGATGCTAAATACTCAGAATCCCAGGAACCCAAATGTTGCTCTAAACATAACCTAATGGTCATTTCATGACACTTCTACATTAGAGTCACACACATCTACTCTCTTGGTCATGTCTGCACTCTTTTAGGCTCCACTTCTGCAAGATGCTTTGTGTTTCTGAATATCTTATTTCCTGTTGGCACCAGTATCAGCTGAAGATGTTTACCAGTTCACAAGACAAATTCTACACCACAAACTTTACAACTAACACAAATGAAGTCAAGCAGTCAGCTAAACACAGTTTTAAAAATACTTTAGTGAAATTCTAGATTAATGTTGTATTAACTGTTGTCCATTGCATCCAGTTATCTCACAATACGAGAAAGCAGAAGTAACTGCTAAACACAGTTACTGAAGCACCCATCCTCAAAGAACTGAGCAACTTCAGAAGGAAGTTGCCAGGGTTTTTGTTTCCTCCTCCAAGACGGGCCTTCTCTTCTGCACTTCAGTAGTGTTGCCTAGTCAGAAATGAATGTGGCAAACCATCTCCCTTCACACTGTACAAACCTGAAGCAGCGTTCATAACGTTTTAATGTGAATCTTCTCATTTTGTTTGCCTGGGATTTTCTCCCAATCTTCCAAGTGGAAAAAAAATCACTGTGGATTGTTCTCTCCCTAGAAAGGCTGCTTCTTTAATCACTTCCTTATTCCTTCTGGGTCTACCAAAAGACAGCAAAAGCTGCAGACATGTATATGTTGTGTGTATATCTATATATTATCTGTATACAGATCTCCCTCTAAACCAACTCCATCCCACTCAGCCTGACTGATGGGTATCTGTAAGTAGAGGAAATAAGGCTTCCACCCCCAAACCAAGTTACAAACCATTCCTGTCTCAACACTTAACTCATCCCTTCTTTAATATTCTTTGATAAGTGGATGAGACTGGTTCAGTAGTAAAGAACAGAATCACCTGTTAACAGGCAGCTGTGAATTTAGTGCTCCAAAAAGACAGGGAAAGATTTGTATGATAAATATTTAAAAGATAAAACACATTATTTGTAAATGCCTAAGTCCCATTTTAAAGTAGCTTGGTTCAGGAAAGCATGTTAGCAAATGCTTAAATAAGACAGACTTAACAGATATTTTGGTAACCTTTTTGAACAGAGAGATTAAGAATTTGGATTAAAGATAGTATTAGTGAAACAACTAGAAATGTGACAGAAAATCACTATTGTGAGTTACTCCAGCTTTAACTAGTACCACATATATTAGTTGTTTCTGAAACTTCATGCCCATTATTGTCTCTGGACAGATGATTTTACCTATTTGCCTATCAAATATTAACAAGAGGCGTTCCAGTTCTAACTGCTGCATAACAACATATTTAAGAAAACAGATTAAAGATTCTTGTACTCAAGTACCGTATTTCTGGCAACCATTAATGCTGGCTGCTTGCGAAGAACACATGGTTTCCTCTCTGTCAGTGCACTGCAGTGCTCAGTCACTATTGCATTGAATAGAGTGGACTTGAAAGACTGTTGCTTGTCAGTACGTGGTTCCTTTAACTGCAGAAGTTACTGATGTTAACTGAATACAAGCATTTGCAGTGGCATATGGGGTTCACTGTATGTGAGACTTCATTTTTTACTTCAATGTCTTAATTCCAGTGACAGGTTGTTTTTCTGGCAAAAAGTAGTTTCCATTTGTCGATCTCTGCCCTTTCTTTGAATGAATCATAAGAATTTTTCTTCTTGAAATGGAAATGGTGAACTTTCTCATCTTCACAATGTGCATCACATTGAGGTTTACATAAGAATTAAGCTTCAATTAACGCCTACTTTTCATAAACTACTACCACAGTTCATTTAATAACTTCACAGGCTCATTTACAAATTAATTAAGTCTTGATGACCGCCTTATAGCCTTTGTAAAGCAATTTTACGCCACTTACGTACTCTAACACGGAGAAGTGCCCTTCTAGTCTGAAAATGGCCTATATAGAAACACTTGGTGAGCATCAGCTTTCAGCATGTATTGTGTCACACTGGACGACTGTTTTAGGATATGGCTGAGAGAAGTATTTTGGTAAGCAATGCAGAACCCATATACCTCAGAAAGGGTATGACATTCTCTTTTTTCATAAGTAACTTCTGTTTAGAACAGAACTACATTAACTAAAACAGAAAGCTAAAGAAAGTTTTTCAGGCTGTTTAAGGATTGATTATAAGCTTAGCTGGCCAGTACTTAAAAGCAAGGTTCTGTCTTACCTCCAAGTAATTTATCACTTTGAGAGGCCTACATTCATATACTTCCTTTGCATTTCCATTAACTACTGCATTCAGAATTTCTTTCAAATCAGAAATACCATAATACGGCAGACAATTTGCCATCCCTTCTATTTCCAGGTGACTTTCCATAGCTGAAGCACCTGAAAATACAAATACAAAAAAAACCCAGTAATTTATACACTGCTTTGATTCCTATTCTGAAGCAATTCAGAGAAAATTAAACTGATGGTGAATCACTTAGTAAATTAGTCTCACAAATTCAATGGAATTAGGAACCCTTTTCTTTTTTCTTCCTCCCTTGGAGGGAAAAGCATTTATTTGTCCAACGTTTCATTATAATGATGTATGCCAATTCACATCACAAATGCCTCAGCTTATTTTAATTCAAATCCTAGCTAGCTGTTTAAATGCTTAAAACATTTTGCACCATTCCCAGTCTTGAGCATAGCTTCAACGGCTTTAATTAAACATACATGAAATTAAAGTAGAAGCTGTTAATAAAACACAATTTAGTTTGGAAAAAACGTTAAAACAGAGCGTTGGCACTATTTCCTATGTAATTGGTTTAAAGATCTCTAGAGTTCAAGCATTGTAACAAATTCAGCTTCTACTGAAATGAAAAGCAGTTTTGTCTCCTACCACAGCAGAGGAAGAACTCAAGCCCACATAACTAGGAGGTCTGTGAGACAGACGTCGTGCTGTAACTTACTTATCACTGCTACAGCAGGTGAATAGGAATGATGAATAAAAAAACCTTCCCAACAAAACAGTTGTTTCATCTTTGAGGTGTAAGAGATTGCACTTCTTATTCACACTACCTGCAATGAAATCTGAATGAAGTTGCTACTGTACAGCTAACTGCTCTTCCACTCCCAGTCAGAAGCAAGTTCTCTAGGGCTCAGGCTCACATATTCTTGTGCTCTTAAGAGCTCCTCCTCTCACTCACGTTGGGAGCAGAGAAATCTCAACCCAAGCCGCATGGCTACCTTCCCTTCACCTCCACTACAAGTCTAAAAAGTGAAGATCCTCATGAGGACAGCAAGAAGGAATACAGTCCATAATGAAAATAAATACAAATTACATTCAGCCCGAGTCATGCATGAGTTTTGCAAAATCAAAGAAGCTGGAGACAAACAGACTGCTACAAAGTGGATTCAACTAAACTAAAACTGTGATAAAGGATCATTTGTGTTCCTAATACAAACAACACTGTGAAAGACTTCAGAAGTCAGAGAAAATATATATGCAGTGTAAGACACTACACTGTATTTCATTAGCTAGCAGAACGAGACCCTTACCCATGGCCAGGCACTGCTGTTTTGACAGCCATTAAATAAGAGCATAGATGAACAGAAGGACTGTGCAGGTTGAAAACTTTTCTGACTATGGACGTGTCAGCAGATAAATAATGTTGGGCCTTTTTAAGCTTCATGGCAAGAGGTACTTTGACCAGAGCAGGAATTTTGATATAGGGAACATCCCCCCTTTAAATTTTATTTCCTTTTTTCACCCACCATTGTCTTCCTTCTTCCCTAATCATGGCCAGGAAAAACAGACGTATTTTTTATGTCCTGCTGTAAGACTGTGATCCAATTCAACTTAAAGCAGAACGTTAAACTATCTGAGAGTTTGCCAGTTATTAAAGGTGAGATAAGATGATGTCCTATGTCAGTATTTCCCCATGGCAAAGACTGACAGTAAGAGACAGGAGAAAAAGATAAAGTCTGGTTTTAAACTCCTTCAGCTCTTTTCATTTTTATATCCCATCTTTCCTTCAATGAACAACAAGATTTGAGTAACCATCCCAGACTATTTGATTATGCTGCTTTCTCTCTAAAATAAGAACTTAATATTTTTAAACAACCTTTCAATAGTTACCCCTCTATATGCTACCAAAGCTGTGACACTAAATTTTGTTAGGTTTCCAGAGTTAAGATTTTCAGTCTGAAACCTTTCATTTCCACTTCTTCCCTTAAAATTTCATGACAGTGAAGTTGTGGATTTGCAAAATTTTGTGGGTTTTTTTTTTTTTTTTGCAATTCCAGTAAGCCAGTCAAACATGCTTGCTAACAAGACTGCTCACACTCAATATTCTACTTACCAACAGCAATTTCCCTATCTGCAAATTTTGACAGCCCGATTTGACTTCACCATACTGCTCATTAATTTGAAAGTCAAAGAGGGGTTTAAAGAGTCTAACATAAGATCAAATAATAAAAATCCTGGCTAAGAAAAGTGTTCTTCTTTGATATTTCTGTTTGACTGTCATTCTCCTTTTCTCCTTACAATCTTTAGCCCACTGCAGGCTGATTGACATACTCTTATCTGCAAGCCTTTGCAGCAAATTCCGATATTGGCAGCATTTCATCATAGAAACAGATGTCCGAGCCTCAGTGTACTTGTAAATGTTTAACAAAATATACGTTAAGATTTCTGAGTGTTCAAACAGCAGTCTTCAAGCAGTTTCCACGGTAGTTTCTATGAAATGCTTTGCAACTTCCAAGGAAAATATTTCCATGAATAAATAAACCAGCTTTCAATTGACTAAAAATGTGGAATTCTCATTTCTCCAAATTTCCCCCTTCTCTTTCCAAACAAAGCATTCACAATCATCTTTGGATAATTCCTTCTTGATGGCCAGGAAAAACTGTTCTCTTCCAGCTGCCACCTAGATTAGGTGACACTCTAAGGCTATTTATCTTCCAGTCTATGGTCAAAATCAAACTGAAATTAAGTAGCAGCATGATTTTCCACAGGTCAGTTACAAGAGCTGAAGCAGCTTATATTACCAAGGAAGATGGGTTATTTACCTGTTACTGCTCTTTGAGGCCTTGTAAGCACAAGGTACACACATTCTGTCAGGCAGACACCTCTACCCTAACAGTCTGCCCTAGAGCAGGGCCCAAGGCGCACCACTGTTAACAAAAACAGGTAAGACGTGTTCCTTGCTCTCAGTTCCTTTCCAGCCAAGAATTCACCTCTCTCTCTAGGAATGGCCCAGAAAGTAATCCATCTTACTTCTTGAAATGCTTCTCTGTATGTACGGGTCATTGCAAGCTGTACCCACCAAACAAATGCCTGGCAGATCCCAGAATACTGAGTTAAGTAAAAGCAAACAGACTGCTGTCCCAAAGGTAGCATCACTTGAAGGTTCAGTAAGGCCAGAACATGAGGGGGCGGGAGGGCAGTGGAAGACAGACGAGCCCAGCGTCACAGCTTTGCAAATCACAACAACTGGCACGTTCCACAAAGAAACCATTGATTTTGCCTTACTTGACATACTTACAGCAAGAAGCTTTTTCTGTGCTATTTCACAACATGTTTTTCACTGTCGGCTATCCAGAGAAAAATCTAGTTGAAAACTCTTCAAATTGCTGAGCAATCGATACAAAGAGAAACAAGGAGACACTGCAAAATATCTCAGTCTTCCAAAACAAGAAGATAGGCATGTTCGTTATCTCGGACACTTGGAACAATGTTGGCTGCAGTCATACAGAGTCTTTGAACAATATGGAATAAAGGTAAATTGCATCCTGTCTTACAACAGAAGAATATTCAAAGGACAGACTTACCCTCAAATATAAAAATAGGCGAGTAAGGCCCAAAATTATCATATTCTTGTAAAAATACCTATCCAAAGGCTGGATTTGTGAAAAAGGAAAACGGTGTCAGAAGTTCAAACCGTTTTCCCACCAAAATGAAAGAACAAAAATGAAACTCCGTGTGGAACTGAGCCCTTGTTAGGAAGGAAAGGCCTAATTAGATCATTCAAAATCCTACAAAGAGTAGTCCAAGAGAAACATATTGGAAATATAATGCTGACAAAATTGAAAATGTAACCATTTGAGCAAATAAGTCAAATAAATAGTTGATAGCTTTCTGTTATTAAGAAAGATCAAAATATCATCTCTGATTGAAAAAACCCAGACCAATTCTAACTCCAAGAGCAGTTCAACATCCCAACTCTTAAGATGGCAGGAGCTGCCCATATGCAGTGGCAGAAGATCTGGGAGTAAGGGCAGGATTCAAGGTTTCCAAACAGAAGACAAAAAATCTTGAAGTTAGGACTGCCTTGACCATGCTGACAGTATTGGCAGTGCTCAAGCTGAGGTCAAGTGTATCAGTCTTGCTGCCCATGGAATCATCACAATGGGCTCCTCAGTCAGAAGGCTAAGTGTCCACAACTAAGTGAGTGGACCACAAGAGGAAGGAGGATGAGGAGGGGAATGGCATTGCTGTACAGATGTTGTAGAGATGGCTGCTCTGACAAAGACTCCTGGTAGGTTATTAGCGTTACTGAAGTTCAGAACCACCTTGTTAGCTAAAAGATCTTGGCCGCTGAAGTGGATAGTTGTATTTCTATTAATTCTGAGCACTGTGAGGGAATAAGATTCTATTTCTGAGAATTAAACGCAAGACCTGCCAAATTTAGTGCAAGACTAAAGAACTGGGTTTTTTTAATCCTATGACAGAAGTTGGCCCTTACAGATAAGTCATCCAAATAAAGAAAACCCAATGCTATGTGTTTTTTTTTCTTTCAAGTAAGAAACTATTATAATAAAAATATTTTTTATAAAGTTTCTCAGTTCCATAAGGTGCCAAAAGGTAGGACTTCAAACTGCAAAGGAGCACCTTCAACAAAGACCTGTTGAGATGCAAGCCCAGCACAAAAAGGGAACCACTAAACGTCACCTTCCAAATTAAGGCAACAGTTCAGATTTTCTTGCTATTAAATAAACAGTCAGACCTGTAAAACAGTCCCCCACACCAAGAGGAAATAGGGATAAATCTATGATCCTGTATGCAAGTTATTATGCTCACCTAGGAAACAGTTCTAATGAGGTGCTCAATACCAAAGCAAGAGGTCATGCATTCCCAATTAATATTTCAGTATTATTAATAGATATGATACGTATGATAACTCAGAGTACTTCTCTGTTGGCAGAATATGTGTGGAGATTCAAACAAATAGTCAATGCAACCTATTAGACTGACAGTCCTCTTCGGAGATCACCATGGGTCAAGGAAAGCCTCTTCTTCTGTGCCCAAAACTACCAAACATGGAATTGGAGCAGCTAAGTTTCGTTTTTTCTTGCTCTGGAAGGTGTCTTACAGCTACTGATGGCATCACAGACTTACCCACATGGGTCAACAGAAAGGACTATTATTTTGTAAGAAGAAATTACCACAAATGTCACTTTCACATTCAAATTCAAACCTCAAGAAATGGAACCTTTGCTTCTGACTTTCAAGAGGATGTCTCTGTCAGAGAGAGGAACTTTTCTACCACAGAAGATAAAACTTAGCCCAGGATGAAAAAGGAAGCCATGCACTAGTGGCTATTAATAATAAATCAACCAGCAGTCAGAAAGGGACATCTAATATGACCATGTCAGGGTTGAAATCCCAAAGGAAAGTACAGACCTTCATATATACTACAGTGGACCTTGACAGCAGGGAAGAGTTGATAGTTCGGTTGAGAAACAGCAAATACTAAGACTGATCCAATTATCCCCAAAAATGGGGAAAACAATCAGTTGTAAGGCTACACACACAGAGAATGGGGTTCTAGTGTGCTCCTATGGATGCTGGTATGGTGAAACTCTCCAGCTACCGTGGCTCAAGTGCACATTTGCATTCAGGACACCTCTCCACAGCAAGCTTTGACTTTATCATCCACCATGCAAAGTGGCAACATCTGTCCCAAACAACAATATATACTCAAGAAAGAAAACTTTTCTGAGGCAACTTCTAGTTCAACAACCTCTGAATGCTCCCCTCTCAGGCTGTGTCTGAGTTTCAAAAAAACACAAAAAACGAAGCACTTTTTTTTTTGTTTGTTTGTTTGCTGTCTGAGTTCAGTGTCTATGAGCATAGTGAAAATGTTTTGACACAAACTTCTTCTCTCAAAGTTGAGAATTCTTATAGAATATTCAGGTCTAACTTAGACCTGGTCTGCAGGTCACTTTCCATAAAGCTTATAGAACAAGAATCTACAAATAAAAGAACCTCAAACTGCATTGTGAAATTCCCAGAAAGGGACATGCAAGGATTGTTAATACCTGTGTTTCTAAAAAACAGCTTTAATAAGTATTTGTAAATGATAGTAGTGTACTTGTAGAAGATAGCATATTTCAGGGATGGGTGTAGGTAAAATATAAAAAGGAGGGACTGATTAAGTATTAAGTAAAAATCCTTGGGTCAACTGGAAGAAAAGCCAAGAGAAATTCCATTTGTTTGCTGGTATTTCTACCTTCATCTGCAGTGGTATGCTCTTTTAATAACAGTAAGTATTTGTAAATGATAGTAGTGTACTTGTAGAAGATAGCATATTTCAGGGATGGGTGTAGGTAAAATATAAAAAGGAGGGACTGATTAAGTATTAAGTAAAAATCCTTGGGTCAACTGGAAGAAAAGCCAAGAGAAATTCCATTTGTTTGCTGGTATTTCTACCTTCATCTGCAGTGGTATGCTCTTTTAATAACAGAGGCTGTAACTTCAGCAGGAACTTATAAACATGAGTGACAAGCCTCAGACGTTATTAACGTTTCATTCAAGTAGTTAAAATACAAAACTGTGACAAAGAACTGAATTAGGTTCCAATTCTTCATGCGGGCTAGCCATATGGTACTGATCAAGTCCACAACCAGGGGTTCTTCAATCTGTATAGTTCATATAAAGCACTTTTACTTTCATTAACTGTAAACCAAATGAGAAAGTTTCCTCACAAGATTTCATTTCCTTAATTTTACATACTTTGAAACACAGGATTGGATGAGTCCCTTGCTGTTATATTGTAGAATTTGCTCTTAAACCAATCAAGCTATCTTCAAACTACTTTCCCAACTCCAGTACCACAACAGTCAACAGCTCTCCACTGTTGTTGCCTGGAAACTCTCTTCAAATTCTCACATTCAATTTATTCACATCCCATTTACATTAATTAGATTTTGAACTATGATATCAGGAGCTAAAAAAAAAAAAAGGTATGTGAGCAAAAAGGCTAAGCCACACGATCCATTTTCCCCATATTTGTCTAGAAATATATCATAGACCTCCTCAGCTTTTGATTTGCTAGACTGAATCAGCCTTTTAAGAGCTGCCTCTTGCAATATGCACTTTATTCCCGTAATCATTCAACCTAAGATTATTAACATGAACACCTCTTCTCTAAAGTTTTTGCTATTTAGCCAGTCAGAAAAAAATTCCCTTGTTTTACCTATACACCATTCAGTAAAGGAAACATCTTAGGTTCTGTTCTTCCCAAGAGCCAGCCTCTGAGCGAAGGAGTTGTCTACATCCCTTTTTTGTACCTACCCTTAAAAGATCCCATATGTTACAGGAGATCTGTCATCGCTGTACATATGTGGGGATCTGTAACACATGAAGCTATAGCATTTCTAACAGCTCTTATAGGGAATCTTTTCTCTGAGCTGTCAGCTAGGTACTACCCCCAAAGACGTTTGCTTTTCTTGAAATGCTGCTAAAGAAATTCTGGTCTGCAAAACTAACTCTGGGTGGGTTGCAGCAGCATCCCTATAAATGGTTCTTTAGAAAAACATATAAACATTTGATCTGTCTTGCTGAGGTAAAAGGATCTTATATGAAACAGATCTATCCTGTAATAAACATAGAAGCACTAAAAAAGAGGCTGTCTCAAAAAAAAGTTCAGATTGAACTCAACCGAAAAGGTGTGACAGTGATCCTGCCACCCTCTCTTTACTGGCCCCTTTGGGGTCTGTGTTACAACTCTAGTTGCTTACTAGACCTCCTCAACTTCTCAACAGCAGTGGAGTAGTCGGCTAAAGCAAGTACTTGCAGAAGCTTCTGCAATTCTCACCTTGGAAGAAGCTGCCAGGACTAAGAAATTCTCATCAGTTTAATCTAAATTCTGTCAGAATGGCAATTCAGGATATCGATATCCAGCTTTTTAAGAAAAGTAAAAATAAATATCAGGAAAACATCAGAGCATTCTTTGAAATATTATTAAACTTTTTTGTTCAGTGATCAGTTTCCATTACTCAATGTTCTGTGTAGAAGATCACATTCTTTGCCAGTAAAATCTCAGTGTTAAGGAAAACAGGATGTTAGCGCTTGAAATGATAAGGGATATAGAATAACATGATCTACAGTAACAATCATTTAAATCGTTAAATGAGAAGCCCCGGTACAATGAAAAGATTCTAAACACATCATACCTTCTATCACTTTTATCTGGAATCCATTTGCTACAAGCCTTGGATCTGACAAATAACCTGATCCATTGAAACTCTGGTAATTCTTCTGCATTTTATAAAGAGCAGCCATATACTGAGATCCACCAATAAGGCTGGGAAAAAAAAAAAATCCCCAAAGTGTTAAAAACCAGAGTCCTTAATGTGAATATTAAGAATGTGAGAAAAATACAGAAAAAAGTAGTAAGTGATGAGGTTTGATCGAGATTTTTAAGAATATTCTAAATAGGCAATTCGTTTAGAGAAAGAAAATTGCAACTGTTCACATATCTTAAAAGAGTGACCAAGTTTAGGCATATAATAGTATTTACATCAGCCATTCCCTAATCCATGGGGGAAAGTTAGCTAGAGTGAAGTCTTGAAAACGTGAAGCATTTAATTTTCCATTGGGGGAAGAAATTTGTCTTTGTTGCATTTCCACTGAAACTAGTCAAAATTCATATTTATTTCAACTGGAGTATGACCAGAACTGCTCATTACTGTAAGGTAAAAGTACACAAAAATCTGTTCTTCTAGATAAACGAATGTACAAATAATCACAGAATTAGCAAACAGGGCCGCACCAGAGTTTTCTATAAATAATTATCAAATGATACTTGAAATAACGTACAAATTTTTGCTCAGTTGTACTATACCTGTCGGTTAACACAATTGGCTTATCCAATTTCTCCACTGGAAGCTTATGGTTCATCAGTAATCTTTTATGCAGCAGGGCTTCTTCCAGTCTATATGGATTCAGCAACATTAGCTTTTTTTCAGCAGCAAATATCCAGACATCAGGAAAACTCTGACGGCGTATCAGGAAAAGTTTGTGTTCGTCTGAATCATTTTTCTCCTGTCTCTGAAGCTGATATCTATAGGAACTCAGAGAAAAAGGCACTGTCACAATTTTCATAGCCTGTTCAGCTTTGCACTTCTTCTCAGCTTGAACCTGAAATATCTTGTTAAGCTTCTGCTGGTTGGGTGAGGTCGTCTTTGGTTTGGGTTTCCGTTTTTCTGCCTCCTTTGTTGGCTGGTGCACTGTCTGTCCCATGGCTTTCTTGACCTCTCTGTTGTACCGTTCCAGGTCTTTAGCAGCTTTTATTTCATAACTTTAAAGAGAAAACAAACCAGTAGGATAATCAGATAAAAACCCCTAAACCCCAACTCACAACATACTAAAATAAAAGGCAAGGTAACCATTCCAACAGACAAGAACAACTCCCATGGTTTATTCACATAGGCACCTGAATATGCTTTCTGCCGCGATGGAGGTGGAAGGTGACCAGGGACTGTGCCCCTATTACATTACCCTGCAAAGATGGTACATTGGAAATTTTCCTTCATCGTGACAGCCAGCAAAACCTGAATTACTGAAGGGGGAGGAGTAGACTGCATCGTACGCAGAGCTACGGCAGGTTGCTTTTGACCTCAGTCCCAAAGATGATGTTTAAATCCTAATTCACAATCAGACACACAGTTTTGGAAGGAGTTTTGTCCCAGGCAAATCCAGTCCAATTCATAAAGTCATTTAAGCTTCTAGAGCTCTACAGACTTCCAGGGGAGTCCATGCAGTTAGGGAAGAGTTTGGAGCCTAAATAACTTTATATTAAATAAAGCCTAGGGCTTCTGAAGAAGTACATTGCACTTCAAATGGCCTAAAATTAACCACAGATAAAAAGCATGAGAATACAGCATAGATAAGATTATCACAGAATTTCATAACTAATAAACATACAGCTTTTTCAGAAAGTCCTCAGTAATGAGTTACTCCTAAATGCTGCCTAAATCGTTAAAACCTTACTACATACTAAGACTCTACAACCTAAATGGATTCTTAATGAATTTGCAAATGTCAGGAAGATAGTTAAACTTTTATAGATGCCAGGTTTATACTTGCCTGCTACATAAAAATCTTACTTTTTTGAACACCAAAGGAGTGATTCGCCAAATTCCTTCTTTGTGCCCTTATTTGATATTCTGAATAAAAGCAGGTAATTCAAACCAGTCCAATCTTCAATTAAAAAAAAAAGTAGTACTATCATATGTAAGTATTGGAAATAAGTATTTTAGCTGGTCATATTTATTTATTGCTACTTGCTGGAACAGTTTGATTCAATTATGTGTATGCATGCTGGAAAATTAAGGTCAACAAAAGGGTCACCATTTGCAATTAATTATGATGTGCTAGCATTCACATATGGTACCAATATTTAGTTAACTAAAAAAGTCAGCTTAAGTAGTTTCTTGCAATAAATCATGTCCTAGAAAATATGGAGTAAATGTTAAGATAAAAAACATCTGCTCCTTTTAAAATGAATGGATGAAATCACTTGAACAGAATTTTTTTATCCCAAATACATTTATAGCATTGACCAGATCGATAAATACTTTGTTTTGCATAGATCCAATGGTAATGCAGGATAATGTTTAACTAGAAGAGCTTTCAGTGACACATTAATAATCCAAAACAAAAGCACTTCCAAAGGAAGTCCAAATTGCCTGTCACTATAGGCTATCAGAAAAATTCTACCCTTAGAAGCTTTCATTGTGAGGGTTTTGCCAATTCATTGGCATCACGAGGAATGATGAATCAGATTAGTTCAGAATCAAAGAAAACAGCAGATTTACAAACTATGAGGGAACACCTTTGCCTTTCCAACAATCTTTCCACATTAGCAAGTATAATCAACAAACACTACAAGAACAGTTTCTTCTCTGCTTTGTGAATTCAGGATCCTTTCTCAAGCTACAAAACCTAAAGCCAAGGAAGTTTGCAAAACTGGGTGTAAGGAAGGAAGTGGAAGACTAGAATGAAGTCTACTTACAAAGGCAGCTTTGGTTTAACTAGAAAAGTGAATCCCATGACTTAATTACCTGCCCCTTGCTTCTTAAACCCAAATTAAATATTTAGCATATAGCAAAAACCTTTAATGTAAGGTCTCTCAGACCTTGTAAGACAAATAAGACTATCTGAATTTGACTATTTGGAGTAAACTCTGGCTGGAGATGGCCACTTGTGTAGATTCATACGTGTTCAGAATGGAGAGGCATCTCATTCTGAATGTAATACCTCTCAGCATCAGCCTCTTCACACAATGAAACCAGAGCGACTCCAACTATCACCACGGGCAAGTATTACATTCTACTTCTGTGTTTCCTTCCTTTACAAAGAGGAAAATAAATTAAGCTTTCAGTTGTGCATACGAGCTTTCCACAGTCATCTTCAATGCCCAGGTTTCAGGTACTAGCACTATTTCCTAGAAGTGCAGAATATCGAGCTACTGTTATGACTGAAGAGATGCTGGGGACAAGCAATAGGTACGAATTATTAATACCATTATTTATGATTAATATCTAGCAGTAGATGGATGGAGCTGGCTAGAGATACGATGGACGGTCAATGATCAGGTGGTCATTAACCAAATTGCTCGCATCCAAAGGAAAGAGAATATGTTAACTGAAACATTAAACTACAGTGAGAAAATATTTTTATGGATTTGCCTAATGTAAAAGAATGGCAAATAATGCCTACACTGGCACACAGACAAGCCCTGAGCTGCATGGAAAGTGTATCAGGCAATAAAAAGCTACCACACGAGCTAGTTACTACCAACCTCATGACTATGCACATCCTCTTATCTGCCAATAGACAGCAAAGGCCATGCTACCTGAAATGATATTTCTCCCAAGATACAAAAATACTCATTAAGAACTACTATAGAGCACTGACAAGGTAATTTGTAGGCCCTGGTAACGTGTATGTGGCTTGGAACCTTTCCTACACCTTCAGGATAACCTCTGCTGCCACTGTCACGGCACTTAGAGGGATCTCTCCTGCTCCTACCTGAGCCCGATACATACGAAATACTGAGGCGAGAAGCACACACAAGCTGTATTAATTGAGACCAGAGGGCAAGAAATTAAATCCTGGCTTTGCAAACCAGGGGGATATACCATGCTGCCAACGTGGACATGCATGGAAGCTTTCCTCTTCTATTATAACCTAAAGACCATAACATTTTACATTCCGGTTGAGTAATAAACGCTGGCTTGTTTGGAAAAGGCTATCCTATGTCAGTCTGAGACATCTGTTGGTTGTACTGCTCCCAAAAGGGATTTAAACTCATTTAGACCTGCTGGAGAAGCCACAGAGAAACAGAATTGCTGAAGTCAAGGACACCCATCGTAACATAAAGGCGTGACTTTGCCACAGACGGATGGAGGACTAGAGCCCAGGGGCAGTGGTGTGTCACCAGAAAGGTTGCACGAAGCGGGAGCTAAGGTGTTCTCAGTGGAACACAGGCACTTTGGCTGCCCTGCTGTATATACATTTGTTGTTACCTCTAGGTGGCCCAATTTATCCAGAGTATCTGGTAAGCAAGACTTATGCTCTCTGCCAGACATACAACAGTTCTTCTGGATTGCTGCCTTGGAGGAAAAGATGACTGTGTTGTTTCTTCCTATTTGTCATTTTCTGAGGCAATTTTAAAAGACTAAAAGTGGAAAAGAGGTACCCCAAAGCTAAAACGTATGGATACAACTAGTGGTAAATTCTTTATTCGCTCCAAAATCCACTGGACCATCCTGCATCCACTCCTGCACACAGGGAAAACTTCATTAGCAGTGATGTCTCCTTCCTGAACTGATACAAAGCTAATCTGTAGGCACACTCTTAAACATAACAGTTGTACCAGGAAAGCAACCATGAAATCTCAAAAGCTAAAGCAGAACAAATGAAAATTTTCTTAAACAGCTGGCAGAACCTTTTGTTCCATTTTGTTAAAAGCATGAATATAATTGGAGTAGATTCCTACCAGTACATTAATATTTCTGCTAGCGCAGGGATGGACAGAACACTCTCTCACATGTATGGTTTTGTGATCACGGCCTGTTGCTTGCTTAGTGAGCTTTAAATTAGGTAATCAGAAGCTAGATAAAAAGGTTTCACTTAACTGGAATGTAGACAGCATTCAGAACAATGCAGATGTTTACAAACAAAGTCAAGAAGCCACAGACAAAACATACATTAACAGTAATTCAACAGGTATTGCTCCTCTTTCTTACCATTCTCCTAATTGAATCTCTCATTAGAGTTAAAACTACACTGTTTCGGCTAGTATAATTTTCGTTTCAGTGGTCTTTCTTAATTCCCTCTGCTTGCTTCCATAATACCAAGAAAACACATTTTCACAACACTTCCAATGAATTTTTTCTTCAGAACCAAAATTTAAGTTCTCAAACTTTCCGCTCCAAATCACAATACGCCTTCAAATCATTACATGTGAAACTACTGAGGAACTACTTCTATTTTCCCCATTTGTGTGACACCCTACAGTGTTTTTACATTTTATAAAATTACAAACAAAATGTGGAAGGTTTGGTGCTTCCTTTTTTTTTTTTTAAACTGTTTTAGAATGTCTCAAAATCTGTTACATAATGGTGAAAGATAAACTAGAGTAAGCTCCACAGAAAGAACAACACATACCTAATATTTTAATGAATCCATCCCCTGCACCAAATTAGGATATTTCCCTTACTTGCAATTGGATTTCAAAAACTCAGTGACAATTCATTTTTGAAAAATATGGAATTTAGCTATTCAGATTGTAATCTACAAAGAGATTCAGTTTTGGTTGAAACAGATTAAAACTCAAACTGTACGATACTCTCTGAACCAGCACTAGCTGTTTAGGCGAAACAGGAATTCCTAGTGTCATTTGATTGACTTCATAAATACAGTTCTGGGTTGGGATATGTACTAAATTTACAGGAAAGGAGTTTACCAAATGTTCGACTATTAAGATCCTGAAAAAGAATTCTCACTTTGTAGTGATAAAAAAACCTGAACTGTTGGTTGGAAAAAGCTCTGGAGGAGCTATGCAGTGCCCTGTCCATCACTATCCTGGTTTTCATGGACAGGGCATTGGGAGTGACAATATACAGGCAGCCCTTAGGAAACAGAAGTTAGTAGGATTCAAACAGTACATGTTATTACCTCTAAACAACAATTCAGCAACACTGTCCCTACCTAACTGCTGCACGGCACAGCAGCAAAATGAGGAACTCAAATCAGCAGCGCACATATGCACACAGCAAAGAGGACAACTCACGCTAGCAATGCTGATCCTGAAAAGCCAAAAATCATTTTCTGTTCTATTTTTTTCATAAATAATGGTGAATTTACTTTTTTTTTTTAATTCACTACAGGTGACTCATAGCTAACTACCAGATTTAGAAGTAAGACAGCCTGAAAACTTACTTCTTTTTTTCGACATCATGCAAATTCTCCCACTGCTCTTCAATTGCCAGCAGGATGTCCTCCATTTTGGTCTTTGGATTATCAGCTATCAATTTTGGACGCAATTCTTGAGTGAAAAATCCAAGTGCAGACTTTGGTTGCTTTATTATTCTACTACTAATTAAGTCATAAGCCATCACATGTCCGAATTTATCATTTATCACATTTCTTTTATTTATGCTTTGATTTGAGATCTGTGGATCATTGCTTTGTTCACCAGTATGTTCACTTTGCTTATTAATTGTTCTTCCAACTTCAGGAATTAAAATCTTAACAGGTTCCAGGTTGTCTCCTGTATGGTTTTTAAATCCACTTCCCATACTCCAATTATCAGCAGAGATTTCAGGTAAGTCTTTCAGGACCAAGGCTTCCTCATTTTTTTCTACTTCATCATTATTATCAGAAGTCAAGAGATGCTCATTGGACTTCTTAGACTTGGGGTCCATGGGAACACTGTTACTTTCAATATTGGTCGTGTTCTGTCCATTCTGTTCCTCCTCACACAATAAATTCAAGGAACTGTCTGGAAAGGCATCACTCCCAGACACCTCTTTTTTGTCCAGGCGACTATGTACATTATCACCATAGAACGTCTGACGATTTAAGCAGATCTCTGTGGTTTTTCCCGCTTGACAGTTTTGCACATCACTGCTGAATGAAAGGAATGAAGTATGAGCATGTAGATCATCGTTTCCAGATGGTCCAATTTCATTAACCACCACATCTGTTTGTTCTGTTCTATGAACAACAATGTCTTCTGAGGTAACATCTGTTTTATTACTTTCACCAGGGACTGCAGCAGGTAGTGGCCCATACAGTGATTTCAACACGTTTTCAACAGCAAGTAAGACAGATTCCTAGGGAAAAAAAACAAAACACAAACAAACAAAAACCCAGAAAAGCCACACACTAAAATACACCTGAAATGTAACTGACAGACAGTGAGAATATAGAACAATAAGCCAACTGATCTTATTCAGAATATTTTTCAGACAATTCTGTACAAATTACTGCATTTCAGTTGTTTACCCATGCTCTAAGAGACTCTGGACACCTACTTCACTGTTACTCTGATACCACAAAACCAATTAATTGTTTCTTTATAACAGGGTATTGATTGCTTAAACCAGTATCTGATAAAGCCATTCCCACCTAATACAGAGTTAGAAGCTTATAGTTCAGACTGATGCACCAACATCCCATTCCATGAAAGCATGTTTGTGTAGGTGCTGTTACGGAGCATGCTTCCAAGACAGCTTTGCACCAAATGATGGAAATGAAAAAGAAAAAAAGGCCATAACTGACAGACCTACTGCAGTATTCTGTTTTTCAAAAATAAAAAAAAAAAAAAAAAAACCAAAAAAACCCCACAAACAAAACCCAAACCAACCCTTTTTCTAATACCAAAGGAAAGTTTTAAACCAGATCAAATGTGAGAATGCTGTGTTAATTTTCATACAAGTGACACTTAGCAAGCAGTACTTTTAGAGCATTAACACAGAGAAATACAAAAGCTTCCAGTGAAGAAGAGGATTAATACACTGGTGTGACTACCTTCCCTTGCCATAAAGCTATCTGAAAACAAAGTGATGTACACCTATCTGCAGTGTAAAAATCATCTTTGAAATAAACCGGGAAATTAATTTTGAATAATCCTCTACTTATGCTGGTCGATACTTTTCAAACAAAACAGTCCTGTGCGAAAGGCAAGCTGTCATGTAACGAACAAAATATCAGTGGCAGTTTGCCTTTAAACATTTCAGTAGTCCCAGAAGCCCTTATTAAGCTTACATAAGTAGAAGGTTAACAACTCAAAACCAGATTAAAACCTTAGTTACCTTATAATGCAGTAAAACTTGAGTTTTATCAGGTGTTAAGTTCACATCCACTGCAGAGGCAGGGACAGTAATATTCAAAAAGCAAACAGGATATAAACGAGTACAGCCCTTGTGCGTCACCAGACTGTAGTACTGTCGAATTAACTACAGATTGATTTAATAAAGAGATGTCAGTGAAAGCAGGAAAATGGACAGAGAGGCATGGAAACAAAATTTGACATTATAAAAGCATAATTGGTTTGTTTAGGGTTCTTTTTGAAGTAAAAGAATGCTAAAAAGGTCCTTGTGGGTATCATGTAAGCCAGAATAATCACCAAAAGTGCATTTAATGGTGGTTTCCATGTCTTCACATATAAATGAAAAGAGAAAAAGGAAACCCAACCATTAAAAAGTAACCAATTCCAAGACACTAATGATAGCTACTTTGAAATTCTGAATGAATGAATTGATCACACTTGGAAGTAAAGATATGAAATGCCCAAATTTGACTGCAACTCCTATACTTACTACCTCATTCAACACAAATACTATTATCTGTTTGGTTTTTAAAGAAAATCTGCTTAGATAGCATGCAACTACACTGCTGTGTCTTTCAGCCACACTACACTCTGTTAGGGAAAGGCGGCAGTGAAAGACTATCACTAAAGACTATGCACTACTACATGGAGTGGAGATGGATGAGCCTTATTTGTCACTTAACGTACCAACCCAAGTTCAGGGTTCACACCCACAAAGCTTTGCTTGCCAATGGAAAACTACTTCATTGTCTCCACTTTAAAACCTACACATACACTTAGGCATGAACATGACTTTCTTCTCTGGGGAGAAGACAGGACAGGGCAAGGATTGGGACAGCAAGGCTGCTCCGAGGGAGGTGCTGCAAGGTTCAGTAGCGTGAAAAACCCAAGAGTATCAAATTCTGCCTACACAATGCCTAGCTGCAGCCAATGTTGCTGCACTATCACTTTCATTTTTATCCAATGCATACACAAATTTAAAGGGAAAGCATGCGTGTTTGCTTGATAAGCCCAAGGCAAGAAGCAGACAGAATAAAAAGTTTATTTTCACAAGAATTCCCTTACATAAAGGGAAAGAAAAAAACAAAGTTCCCTCATGGAAAACTGCATAGGTGTATTTCTGCAGGCTCATACCAAGAAAGAATAAACTACTCTGGTCTCTCGCATAGAGTATCTGAAATTACATTTTTTTCAACAGCCATAAACATAACCTCCAGCTCTCAGAGGTGACTGCAGCAAACAGAACAGAACTGAGGCACCAGGAGCATCAGACTTGTGGAAGAGGTTTCTCTTGTAAATGTAATTTCTCTATTTTTTTCATCCCTGGATGTCTTCAAGGCCAGGCTGGATGGGGCTTTGAGCAACCTGGTCTAGTAGAAGGCGTCCCTGCCCATGGCAGGGGTGTTAGAACTAGATGATCTTTAAGGTCCCTTCCAACCCAAACCAGTCTGTGATTCTATTCTATGATTCTTTTCCTATAAAGTTATTTTTACGTGGGAAAAAGGTTGTAGATTGCATAGGTGTCTCTGTCCTCAAAGAAGTCACATTTCTATCCTCTGGATAAAAAGGCTAGAAGACGTTACCTTAAGTATTTCCTTCTCAAGAACTGGACGATTGTTTATAACAATGAAACTCCTTTCGGAACTTGAAAGGCTTGTCAAAGAACTGTCTGACTCTGCTTTTGGGAGAAATCCAGAAAGATTTATCTGCAATGATAAAAAAATACAGCATGAAAGTTTTTGAAAGAGAAATGTCAAACGTTGGTGTGGTTTTTTTTTTTGGAGGTGAGATATTAAAGTGAAATTGTACGGAAGTCCTGGTCATTCAAACACATGCACTGCTTCCTGGAAGTTATGACACAAAAAAATAAAAGCACTTAAATAAAATAATAGAGGTCGAGAAGGATGAGTTTGTATCTATTTTCCTTAATAAATTTATTGAGAAACTTCCCATTGGGACTGCCAGTTGCATCAGGTTGCTGCCTGCATCCAAGGGCTGTGGGGAACAATGCCAGGCAGATCTAGGCCTGCTGACTGCAGGGTAGCCAGCTTAACCCCTGCACAAGCCACAGGCACACACTGCTGCCCAACCTGGTGAAGGCAGCAGTGAATTACCCCTGTGGGGAAAGCCCAAAACACACAGTCTCTCTCTTTCTCCACGCAGGGCACCTTAAATAGCCTGTCACAGGGCATTTATTCAGGGCACCTAAATTTACCTACACCACCTGTATCCAAATCATCTGACTCTCAAGAGTGCTGAGCACCCACGATTCACAGACGGCAGCAGAACCTGTGAGCACACAGCACTGCCAAGGAGCCTCGGAAAATCACACGATTCAAGTACCTAACATTAACTCCAAGTTCTAAGATTTTTCTGTTGAGATTCTTGAGCTTAGGTCTTTTTCAGGTCAAAATGAGGCCGATGACTTGTGCTGCCTGTCCCGTCAGGCAACTTTGAAACTGTTGGATCGATTTCAGTTCAATCTGATGAAGAAGCAGAAATCCCAAAGATATTACATTTCCACAATTTCTGTGATAACTGACAGCTGGTTGGAAAGGAGAGCCTCAAGATAATGACCTTACTGAGGAAAAGGCAATGGTAACTTTTCAAAAGAAAGGGTCCATCAGCATGTATGTCGTGCCAACCAGTCCACATACCGCTCCACACAAACAGCCCACTAATAGGTGAAGGAACACTGGGGCATCAAGAAGATGGAGATTTTGGAGATACAGGAAAGCCTGGAGAATGTTCTGGTGGCAGGGTGGATCACAGAACACAGCAATCAGACCTTGCTAGCTTTGCTTTTGGCAGAACCCCTTGTATTTACTAATATCCAAATTATCATGCATTTGAAACGGAATTTAAAATCCCTGGGATTTGGCCTATCCTTCCCATTCACCTACGTCACGCCAGCTCTCTGCTCATGTGCTCCCTTATTCCCTCTTGACCTTGTAATAAGCATTCTGTGCTAAAGCTGGAGTGTTCTGGTCAGCAACGTTGCACATAACCAAACACCACTGGTCAAGTTAAAGAGGTGTCAAATATCTGTTGGATGATTATCAGAAAACAACATGCAGCACTTCTACATTTTGTTCTGCAACTTTAGCACATCCTTCCTGAACGTTCCTCCTCTACGGTTCAAGCTCCCTTTCTCATTCCCAAATATTTGTATGAGTCTTTCCCTTCAAACAGTATTTTTATATAGACAACATTAAAGCAAAACTGAAAGTCTCTAAATAACTCATTTAAGAAGTTGACAGATTTAGAAACGGCTGACTGCTGTTACTATTTAAAGCCATGGAGAATATCAGTATGCTCATGAAAAGTTAGCAACAATTTCTAAAACAAGTCTTAATAATTAGAATTTCCATATACAAAAGTATATGAAGTTTAAAGACAAAATTACAGAGACCAGAAAATATTCCAGAATTTTTGCTGTTAATTAGATCAAGTGTTTTCAAACTTAACACTTCAATTAAAAGCAACTGATGTATGTATTAAAATATATCTGTATTGAGTGGTCTTTCTTAAGTACTTTTCTTCTTCCTGGTCAGATGTGTATCTGCTAAACTTAACCTCCACAGAAAGAGAAGAGACTAGGAAAACTTCCTGTGGGAAAGTTTTCAGCCACAGTAGAACCATCTATTTACAAGACTGGGGATGTGAAAAGCATAGATGCTGGTTTGCACGTGTAAAAAGTTGTGCTGATTCTTTATTTTCTTAGTTTTCTTTTTATTTTACAAGTACCTCCGGAGTTTGCATGCTGTGCAGCCAGCTTGAAAATCATCCTTTTTTCATTCAGTGCTCGTAACAGAGATGTTTGAAGAAGGCCGGTCTTTAAGACCCCTGGATCACTCGTTACAGAGGTTTTAACACTGCAGTTAGGAAGGTACAGCTTAGTGAAAGTTTTTTATAACTTTATCAGTTTTGTCTTCAGAGTAGACTTTGGAGCCAGCGAGGGAGTATGAAGCCACACAATGAACAAGTAGGAAAGGAAAAGAATTAAAGAGCTGCCCTCTGTGTACTGAATGAGTCGTGGGCCTAACAGGAAGGAAGAATAGCAGCATATACCTTGCCATTAAATACCTACCCGATACCTGCACATGAGGGAGAAAGGGTTAGGCAGACAACCTTAATTCTGTCATTTCACAGTGTTTGGCTGCTTAATTTAGAAATGTCCATGGTTTCTGAACATCAATTTGTGCTTGAGCAATATGCATGGATCACTTATACACCTAAATGATGCACGTGGTATTTTACACACTATTTAGAGACAGAGAGAGAGATGGAATGTTCCCCAACTTCTATTCAAGGAATATGGATGCCTCACGATATAGCAGAGAGGTAATGTGAGAACCTGAGTGCCTCCTTCAAGCTAGTCCCTTCTAAATACCCCCATGTCTTCCCTTCAGAGCCCCCTGCACTCGCCCTGTGGGGCACAACTACCCTGCATCCAGGTAAGAACGACTGAATGTTTGGTTCAGACATAAGCAACTAAAACTTTGTAAACCACAAGAAGCAACTTTGCTTTTTCCCCCCCTTCCCTGCACGTGTATACTACAAGCATTCTGACAAACTCAAGATTTAAGTCTGAATAATGCTATTAAAGATTAATACATGTGTTCAGACTTTATTAAACATAAATGAATAATGGATGGTAAGTTGTGTTTAAAAGCCACTATGACTTCACAGATGGTGATTCATCTCGTCTATGTGACAGGTCAAGATTTATTACAAGAAGATACAGGAAAACACCACTTTGAAGGATCAGCAGTAGCAGGACTCCCTTTCATGTCTCCAACAAAACTGGAATCAGATTAAGATCTTTTTTAAATACGAGGCAAAGGAGAATATAATGGGGAATTCCCTCAGTTTCAACAGGGACAAAGAAAGCCAAGTGTACGTAACTTTTTGAAAACTAATTAGCATTTCCTTAAAGCATATATTTAGTGGAAATTTTGCATAACTTCCCTTCTAAGTACATGTTTCTTTTGCTGCGAGTGAGGTAGCCTCACTAAAATTAAGGAGATATTATTTAGAGTGTAAACCTAAGAGGCAACAAGGATGAGAATGATATAAATGCTTAGATATTAATCAGAGCACAACCTGCCTGTGGGCCAGGAATCCCAACTTAGACCGCCCTCAGCAATCAGCAATTCTGCATTTGTCATCACAACTGTTTTTACTGCCATTTGATCAGTGCCACATGAGTCCTGACTAGATCAGTCTTGGAGTGGATTTTCAATCACCAAACCAATTAATTTTACAGAGAGGACAGTAATGTTATCAAATGCATTAATCGGATGTGAGTCTGGAGATAATATTCTCTTTCCCAAAGTCTCTTTGGTTTTGAATATTGATTTAGCTCTCATCATTGACAAGCTTCAAGTGGATTTGGGAGAAGGAAGTTTAAACTCACCTCAGGATCTTCACAGGAGTGTTGAAAAGGTACCATACTGCCCATAACGGCTCTTCCCAGAACTGACATACAGGCCATTTTGTGATCTGACACCCTGGTCTTCTGCCAAATAACTGCCTGAAACAAATGGCACAGAGTCAAATTTTTGACATTATATTTATATTTGTTGAACTCAAGTCATGTCTATGAACATGCATATGCAACTGCACACATACTGTATATGTAACATTCTGTACTTTGACCCTCTTACATTCACAACTTTCAGTGTTCACACACGATATGGTACTTTTTGGCCTGTCCTCTCACACTGTATTACTTAGATGCGTAGCAATCAGAAAATTAAGCAAAACTTGTATTTATCAATGTTAAATAGCTAATCTGGACTTCTGCACCTGAAACGATTGTTAAAAACTACCGATAAAAATACTACTTCTCTTCGATATATCGCAGTAGGCTTTGTGTTTTTACTGAGCATACGGATTGAGGGTTTATGACGTGTCTCAGGCACGGCGGTCAGCATTTGAGGGTGGGCACTGCAATGCTTTTGATACTTAAGAGACAGGCTGTTTTGGTAGAAATCAGGCTATTCATACCTCTCATCTGCCCATTCATAGCCCTCATCTGGACACTCTAGGTCTATGACACGCCTGCTACTTAGAAAGTAAAGCAGTTTCTGAGGAAATATTCATAAGGGAAGAAGTTGTTTATCTAATGAAAATTTTGCAGAAGTTAGAAGGATAAAAGGATATATGCTCTATTAGCTACATACCTTGCAATCCTACTGCAAAGATTTAATAAATACAGTAAGGCAGTAGGAGCTGCAACTTGCACTAGAAGTTACCCGTCAAGTCCACTTACACATATAGAAAGTATTAGCTGCTTTGGGAGGTAAAATTTTGTCTCTCACTAATGAGAAGTCCTGTATTAAACAGCCACAAATTTAACTTTGAATCTGCTGTCTTTTACTGCTGTGTATCAACAACAACAAAAAAATTTGCTTAGTTGGCTTTCTGCTTCTAGGCAACGGAAACTGCTAGGTTCAGATCTGCTTGATATCTATTTCTGTCACTGTTCACTGACTGAGTGTATGCTAATGTGCAATATTCAAATACAAAAGGAAAAATAAATGCAGCGACTTGCACTTCAAATCTGACGTTACAGCGATGTTTACAACTGATGTTTTAAGTAGGTGCTACGTGTCCGACAAATTCAAAACGAGTTTACAGTATTCTGGTACAGGATGTTATGTGGAAAGGATGGTGAGAGAGCAAAAGAATACACATGCACCCATCTCAAGAAATGCAATACACAGCCTTAAAATTCCACCTGTCCAGTGGGATATTTGCTGGCCTTGAGGGGTGAATTCCACGGACGAACACCGTGCTCCTGTAAAATGATATTCCCTTCCTACAGGACAGGTGGAATTGTAAAGCTTTGAGATTGCTGAACCTAAAACCATTCCCCAAATTTTTCATTTTCCACTTTCACATACACCCTCCACCATTTGTGAAGTGGGGCTTTTTAGTCCTGCCTGGATCTAACTCACCTCCTGCACAGCAGCCTGACAGCCCTTAGTACATGCTGGATCACAGCTCAGCAACCCTACAGCAAGCACGAACCCCTCAAACATAAAGGGCAATTTATGTCAGGGAGGGCAGGGAATACATAAAGGGAAGAAGGAGAAATGAGCCAGCAGAGCCACAGGCCGGGTGTCCACAGCTCTGGCAGGAAGAGTCCCCACTGTCCTCTGGCAGTGGCAAAGGACAGTCCGTGGGTGCCCAAAGCATGCTGCCTCTCAGGCTCTCTCCTCTACACCTGCTGTAAATCTCCGCAAAGACATTTTGGAGTGATGAAGGAATTTGTCCTTTTCTTCAGAGTTCTTCTTATAAAACATATCCTGTACTGCTTCTATTTTAAAATTGATGACTTAAAATGGAAACAACAAGCATCAAGCAACTTCTTCTTTACTGGCTGTATTTTAAATGAAATGCATGTGACCAACCTGAGAAAGACACTTGTTACGTGACTAATATAAACATCATGCTGTTTATTTTAGCTTATACTAGCGTGATGCCGCAGGTACAGATATAAATCTTAGCTGCTGATTAATGCAAGGTTATTACACTGCCTGACCTTCTGAACGGCTGATACTCGGGACTGTGAAAAGAACACTTCAGTACGGTGGTTTTAAGAAAGCTGTGGAACATGAGAACTTATTAAATGCAAACTTGCTAAAAGTAGATACTGTTAATAAGTTCAAGGGGTATTTTCTAACTAGGCATATATTTATCGGATATTAATACTCAGAACTACAGATACATTTTAGGAACTAGTTATCACTGTAGGTTAAATTAAAGCCTGCATGCTAAAGAGGACAGGCAACTCCTAAATTTGTATACTATATAAACACAGAATAGACTGCATGTTCATTTTTAGCCCTGATCACACATTATGAGGCAACAACATAGGAAAAGCTGGTAATTTATAGAAAATAATTTTTCTAGACTCTCCAGATGTATCCACAAGCATTAAAAAATCCCTTAAGAAACAATGCCCATTCTACTTCATTTATTTTAGAAAATGCCCGTTTCCATGAGGTTCCTGCAGTACCCTATTTTTTTAACCTTGATTATACCCTTTAGTTTAGCTAAAAATACACATCCACACACACCCCCCATATTTTTTTTCTAGGTCATATAAAGCGGGTGTCCAGGATGAGCCAAGGAAGAATCTGACTCTAATCAGTATGATGACACTGCAGAAACAGCCTACTCAAAGATATATTATTACATATGGCCCATCTTAGGTTTTGCTAGAGCTAGCCAAATATATCCCACCTCCCTCCTTGTTTCATTGAAGGGGATTACATGATATAGATCTTACAAAATGGCATAACGTATATAAAATCTATTGCACTTACATAGAAGGTAAGTACGTGCGTGCCTGTGTCTGTGTGTATGTATTTCTCCACCCCATCCAGCCCTAGGACATAGGCATATGCATACTTCAGTGGAGGATGACAACGTACATGCACACATGGAGCAGGCATCTCTGTTATTTTGGGATGCATACACATAGCCCAGAGGATTCCTTGAAAAAAAACTGTAAAGAATGGAGAAGAAATACGTAGCCTCTTCCCACCGGGGTCTCTGGTATATGGCACGAAGGAGAAAAAGAGCTGCTCATGATTTGTCTCCTCAAAGACACCAATGAAGGACAGAGAAATAATGCAGCCACTCCCTGTCCCCAGCTATCATTCATAATTTAGAACTTCTACCAACAGCCACAATGATTTGCAATCACAGACAAATGAAAAATCTAATTAGAGCTGGGGACTGGCTGCTGTTGCTGACTGTGGCTACGCCAGTGTAACTATGATGATACGAGTGAAACAGACTCAGCCCGTTTGTGCTACTTAATGACAGTAACAACCAAGTACACTTTTGCTACCTAGACCCCATCTACTTTCCTCACTTATTTTGTGATAATCATTGTGTTATTTATCCTGTAATAAAAAAACAAAGTCTAGTAGCGCAAGCACTATACATGAACTCTAGGATGGTAACGCAACATGAGTTAGCTCTGGAAGAGAGCTGTCCCTAATTTTGCTTTACATGCTTCAAAAATCCTGTCACCCTGGCGTCTGGGAATCAAACTGCAGTTAACTCTTTGGGCCAGTATGTTCCTTAGCTTTCCTGACATACAGCTTAATAGTTTATTAGGCTCCAAGAAAACTGAAAACATCACTGCCTACCTGTTAAGAGGGCTTACGAACAGGAACAAAGCCAGGCAGCAATATCCAAAGTTTGAATACAGCCGAAGGGAAACAAAAAGACATCACCTCGTACAACGTGTACAACCTCTTTTGTTTATGATGCACAGGCACCTAGCTGCAAGGGCTGGCACGCTCTCTGGAGTGGAAGAAAACCTCTCAGCTAAGATCAAGAAGACACCACGATAAAGTCTTAACCACATTCTTTAAAATCTCAGCCTTAAAAAGTGTTGATGTTGTTAATCAGCTCCGCGCTGTAATTGGCGTTTGGTTTTAAAACTAATGGCAAGTTACCTCACTAAAAGAGCTCTCGCATAATCTTCCCTTGGTAACAGAAATCACAATTTAGCTTAAAGAAAAATAATGCAACTCTCTATATAACGATGATTATTTTCCCTATATATTTTGCACTCGCCTGTGAAGAATCAGTTGTCCCACGCACTTCGTAAGTGCTGGTAGGACAATCACCAGCGGAGGCATGCAATCGAGGCACTCGAGGCACCATTCCCCTCTCATCAGATGCAGCTGACATACCTATCTATCCCATGGGCTTCAGACATTACAGCTATTGGGGGACTTGCTGAAAGACAGTAATTTTCCACAGGACTGTTCATCCTACAAATTCTGGCATGTTTCCTGCTCAGATTTCCCTTTTGCAATACAAGAGCACCCTCCCCATTAAAAGGCTTTCTTGAGTATCATGCAGTGGAGAAATGATTGGATTTGGGAGCTGAAAGTTTAGGAGGGGAGCTAACAGAAATTACAAGGAGCCAAGGATCTTCATCTGGTAACACATGTCTTCAGAGCCCTTCAAAAATTACAGACTACAGTGAGAGTTGTAAGTTTTTTGGCTGCTTTAACCGCACATGTTCAACTGCGGGCGTTTAGAGACATTTCACTTCCATAACAGAAGGAAAAAAAACCATCCTCCCAATCAATTAAAGTACTGTCAAAAGACCAGTTTCTAATCCTAAATTGTCATTTGGAAGATGTACATCATTACAGTGAATACCATTTAAATAAAGAGGGGGTTAAAAGCCTTCTGTAAAAGAGTGGTTAACAAAAGTAACACAGAACACACCTAATTGAGTACACTGCTAAGGAAGAGGGAGAACTCCCAGGAGGTTTCGGAAACACCCCTGCTAACTTTTTTTAAGTATAAAAGTGAACGTGAAAGCCTTGCAAGGGCTAAAGGCACATCTCTCATTCTGCAACACACACTGCCTATGTGAAACAGTAATTGTTTTGAGATTTCAGACATATACTGTGCTGTCATTTGAAAAAAGTGATGGATGAGAAACTGGAAACCTCAAGGAATTAGTAATAGGATATAAAGCATTTCACC